GTGGAGGGTCAACGAAAGGGGGAGGCCTTCAACGAGATGGATTGATACAGTGGCTGCGATGATGGAATCAAGTATAGCAGGGATTGTGGGGCTGGCGTGGGATCGGGCAGTGTTTCGTTCTGCTGTGCATGGGGTCGCTATGAGTTGGAAACTACTCGACGGCACTTAACAACAACAACTTGATTGTATGTTTATTTCAGGTTGCTGAAGTTGGTAAAAAGCTTCAGTTTCTTCATCTTTGGCTTCAGTGATTGGTACATAAATTTGATAATACTATTAACTGATCTTCCTTGTAGGCATATGGATATTACCCTATCACTGACAGCACTGTACAATTTAGGAGGCCAGAAGTCTGAGTTCAGAGTGCTGGCTCTAGGGGAAGGCGTTCTTTCTCGTTTCTCTTGTTCCTAGGAAGAGCACAGTGCAGGTACCTCTGTTCCTGCCTCCTCTTTCTTGGTGGTAGTAGGTCCCAACTGTCTGATCCCTTTCTCCTTTTGTCTTTTGTAAGATAAAAAGTGTTAGAGGCAGTACCCCAGGGGAAGATCCCCTTACATTGTATCAGGGCTATGATGGGACTAAGGATGACCAGGCCACCCTTAATCTTAATCCTTTTACACCTGATTGATTTATCATACCAAATCACATCATGGGCTATCATTGCATATCTCCCACATTATGTCATTACATAACTGCTACATTACACTGAGAATCATGGCTAGCCAAGTTGACACAAATTTTGAGGGGGCAAAATTCAATCCATGGCAATCAACTTTTTGCAGAAATAGAGGATTACCACATCAGATCCCAAAAATTGCATAACTGCCAAACCACTGAGAACTACAACCTAGCCCAGCCTAGTTGACACATAACCTTAATCATAACCGTTACCCTTGCCTTACACCTTTGCATTCACTGTTGCCTGATGTTTATCTTTAATGCATAAAATAGTTGGATAGTAGGTTTTTTACTATGGTCATAAATGCAAAATGTCAAATAATGTGACATTGATAAGTGAGGAGTAACTATTTATTTTGTCATCTAATACAAAGCATTTATTTTTCTTCAGTCACTCATGACCTTGAATCTTCCATCATAAATACATTGAGCAGAAAGTAAGCCTGAGGCATCCTTATACTTTTGCAAGTGGGAGTTCAATAAATGTTTCTCAATGATTTTAAGAAAGAGTCAGTGACGTCATATGCTCAGGAGGAGGAAGGACTGGGGAATGAGCGATAGGAGATTTTTTCATTGACCTTTCCCCTGGGTTAGTTGCTGACTCCCTCAGCAACCAGACATTGGCATTTTGACCTTCATCAAAATTGTTGGTATTGTTAAATTTTCAGGAAAAAGTGGCCACTATCTTTTCCTTATTCTAGCTCATGCTGATATGAGTTCATACTGGCTGATCTTTTTTGGTTACACCCTATGTTCCTTTGTGAGGAAAGGGCAAATAGCTTGGATAAATGACTGTGACAAATTATGACTTGTTTCCTTTGTTTAAGAACATATATTTCATTGCTGTTCATTTGCATTGAGGTTATGGAACAAGAGACTGACAACTGGGTTCTTCTGTGCTCTTATGCAACCTGGGCCATGTCACTACCCTTCTGAGGAACTCAGTTTCCCTATCTGTGCAATAAAAGTTGGACTATGTGATTGCACGGCTTTTCCCTGTTGAAAGATCTATGATTTGTAGACCCTTTTTCCTAAAGCCCATGCTTCTATGATGTTCCCTTTGCTTTTGCATGTCCCCAGTCCCCAGGTATCCATTATTGACCTGGATCTCTGATTTGTGCTTCTAGGTTTTCTTCGTGTCTGACCTCTTCAAGAGCAAGACGACCCTCTCCCTGCCTGCCCCTGCTATCAGGAAGGAAATCCTCTCACCTGTGGATATTATTGACAGGAACAATCACCACAACATGGTGTAGGTGTCACCCACCTCTTGAGCTGTTTTTGTAAAATGACTGCTGACAGCAATTTCTTGCTGCTCTCCAATCTCATCAGACAGTAGAATGTAGGGAAAAAAACTTTTTTGCCTGACTGATTTGAAAAAGAAAAAAGTGTCTTACTTTGTGGCCTTCCAAAATAGGTAGTGTTCACCTATGTGGAAACAACAGCAAACTAACACCAAGTGCCGGAATCCTGGATGTGCAATTGGTTTAAGTGTTCATGTTCTAGTGAACACGGGCTTGTTCTGGAACAAACACTAAAATGATTTGTGTAGAATCTGTTAGTCACCTTTGTGACCTGAGGAATCCCAGGCCTGTCACAAAAGCACAAATTGACATTGTAGCACACGATGCCATAAATAGCACTGAGTCAAGAAAATACCTATTGCAGGGGCTTCCCTCCTGCGTCTCTCTGCTCACCCCACTCTATTCTTTACTGTGACTTTGGTTCAAAAAGTTCATTTTGTTTTTTTTAGGTAAAAGGAAAGAGCAAGCTTGCTCAGTCACATGATCCCAAATCCAAATCCCCAGTCCTGAGGCCTTATCACTTCCCTGGCCCACAGGCCAGTAACCACAGTCCCTCACATTAGTGATTAGGAGACTCTTTGTGGATGAGTGAACTTCACAAATAGCACAATTTCAGAAGCTGTCGAGGGTGCACACCCTCCTTTGTCTTCTGTTGACGCTTCAGCCTGTGATGATGAAATGATCATTGCAGGATGCTGATGTTGTGTACCCCAATCACCAGGCACTTGCACACTCTTAGAAATGGTTAGATGTTGGTGACTGCCTTCTCCCTTGAAATCCTTGCTGTGTACCTATCGGGATTTCCTGTGAGGGTGGAGATGAGCAATGGTGTCGTCTGCCACTGGCTAAGAGGAAGCGGCCTTCCATACAAGAGATGGGGGAGTGCAGGGGGCAGAATGAAAAATGAACCAACCTTTTGGCTGCTCAAAGTCAGAAGGAGCCAGAGTAACAGACGACTCATACCTGCAAGGCTGCCCTTCAAGATAACGGAGCTGATGGGAGTCCTTGTAGGAGTTACTCTTGCTAAACTGTGTAAAGCACTATTGTCTTGGGGTTGATCTCTAGGGCAGTTCTTGGTAGGTTCTGCTGGGCAGAACATGTGGGTTAAATCTCCGTAGAGAGTTTTCCTCATCCTCTATCCCTAAGTCCTTTCAAGCAAGGTCTCACTCTAGGCAGTACACAGGAACTCCTGCTACTGAACCTTTGAGGAAAGGAGGAAGGAAGAAATGCTTCTAGATCTTGGATGCAAACCTTTCAAAGGGCTAAATGTAACCATATGCATCAACCACATGCACATCCGTCCTTTCATTTCAACTATAGCAAGCTATGATTTTTATATATAAATATTATATAAATAATGTATAAAACATTAAAAGTTAACTATGTAAAATATTATTTCTGAAACAATTTTAGCTATATCCACTATGATTATAAACTGTGTCTCGACCTGTGTTATTTACATTAGCTGCTTAAAAAAGCATTGAGTTAATTTTTTTTTAATATCAACTAAAATATCGTAGTTCTGTGGTAGACATTGTTTTACAATGAAAGAAATAACTGCAACTAGAGAAAACTGTATAAAAACATTAAATTGTCAGTATTTTTGTAAGGTTCCATTTTGTAAAGAGAATAATATTCAAAGACTTTTGTAGAATACAAAGTGAAAACTTGTATCTGCGAAACTATACTTGTATTAAATGTGCTTTTGAAATAAAAGCTCATAACACAACTAATTAAGAAATTGGAAGCCTGGAATGTTTGAAGGATATCTGTCTCAAGTATGTGAGTAGATGGAGCAGGAATCCCGGGCCTGGGCCCTTTGCATGGACTTATTTTACATCCTTTTCTTTCTTTTATGGTTATTTTATTTTATTATTTATTTGTTTATTTGGTTGTGTATATGTGTATGTGATGTCGAGTTGGACCCGACTCATAGCGACTCCTCCTTGGGTTTCGAAGGCAGTATCACTATGGAAGTAGATTGCCCCATCTTCCTTCCGAGGAGTGGCTGGTGGGTTTGAACTGCCAGCCTTCTGGTTAGCAGTCAGATGCCTTGGGCACTATGCTACCAGAGCTCCTTTTAACATAGGAGATGTTTGATATTCCCTTGCAGTGTAATTTCCCACCCACCTTCATCTTTTCCCTACCAGGTGATTCTCAGCATCTCAGCCATTTGTACCTCCTATCCTTTTAATTGGAAATTGCGAACATCCATAGTATAGACGGGAACTCTGGTGGTGTAGTGTCTAAGACATTTGACTGCTAACCAGAAAACTGGCGGTTCAAACCCACCAGTCACTCCTCGGAAAGAAGGTTGGGCAATCTGCTTCCATAGTGGTACCACCTGGAAACCCAAGGAGGGGTTGCTATGAGTCAAATCCACTCAACACCAGTGAGTTTGGCTTTTTTGGTTTATAGTATAGATAACGGACTACCTGGGTGGTGCAAATGACTCCACTGCTAACTAAAAGGTTGGAGGTTTAAGTTCACCTAGAAATACCTCTGAAGAGATCCTGGCAATTACCTCCGAAAAATCATCCATTGAAAATCATATGGAGCACAGTTCTACTGTGATATACACAACGTCACCATGAGTCAGAATTGACTCCATGGCAACCAGCTTTTTAGTTGATACTGATGTCTAAGCTGCCCTTTCATCTCTGAGAGTCGTTTGCAGAGTGAGCCTCTGGATCTGCTCTCCTCTCAGGCTCTTCTAAAGAACTTTTGTATTCTGAAGGGGGCTTTCATCAGGAGAAGTAGGAGCTGTGGTCTCCCCAGAGGCAGATAAGGAGCCCAAATGCTCCAGATAAGGTGTGCTTGGGGGCTGAGTAAGGGAGCCCCTAAGGCAGCTGATATCAAAGAAGGGAGGTTTCACTGCTGAGAATGACTTTTGGCTCCTGCTTCCCTTCTCTACAGGAGCTCTGGTGGCGCAGTACCTAAGGCATTTGACTGCTAACCAGAAGGCTGGCGGTTCAAACCCACTACCCACTCCTCACTCCTTGGAAGGAAGGTTGGGCAATCTACTTCTTTAGAGATACTGCTTTGGAAACCCAAGGAAGGGTCACTGTGACTTGGAAGAAAAGGGGAGGCTGGAAAACCACAGTTACTGAGCATCTGGGTGACAGGCATTTCTGTCCATCTGTCACTTGATCTTCACAGCAGTTTATATTTTTAGATAAAAAGGAGAACTAAGGAAGACAAAGATGAAACAATTTATCCAAGATCCCCAAACACTAAATTGCAGGAGTTTCTATAACATATTACCAGAAACTTAGGGTTGAAAGAAAACATTTATTATGTTACAGTTCTGAGTGTCAGAAGACAGAAAATTATCTCACCAGGCTAAAATCAAGGTGATGGCAAGGTTGCATTTCTTCTGGAAGTTCTTAGGAGAAGCAATCTTGATATTTCCAACTTCTAGAAGCTGCCATGTTCCTTGGCTTGTGGCCCTCTTGCTCAATCTTCAAAGCCAGCAGCACTGGGCTGAGTCCTCACTCTCCCCCTCTCTGGTTCCTCTCTGCTGCCCTCCTCTTGCACATTTAAGGACTGTTGTGATGACATTGAGCTCATCCAGATAGTCCAGGATAATCTCTCATTTTAAGGTCAGCTGATCCCATCTGCTGTCTTAGTTCTCCTTTGTCATTAAATACATTTAGAAATTCCAGGAATCAGGACATGGACATTTGCAGGGTAGGGATTGTTCTGCCTACCACAGTCTACTCTGGCACCTGAAGATTCACCTCTGTCTTTCGTGCTAAACACATTCAATCTATGGGATGTTAGAACATCCCTGAAAGTTTCAACACATTACAGCATCAACTCAAGATCCAAAATTTCATCTAAATCTTAGTGGCTCTAAAGTTCTAAATTTCATCATCTAACCTAAATCAGGTGTGGATGAGACTCTACAATCCATCCTGAGAAACAGATCCTCTGCATCTGTGAACCTGGGAAACTCAAGAAGCAAGTTATCTACTCCCAAAATACAATGGTGAGACAGACCTAGGATAACAGTGATACACATTCCCATTCATTAAAGGAGAAAATGGAAGGAAAAATGGAGTTACTGGTCCAAGCAATTTCAAAATCCAACTGGGCAAACTCCATCTGGGTTCAAAGTCTGGGAATGCCTCTGTGGCTTATGGCTTTTCCTACCCTCCAAGGTCAGCCTGTTAGGCAAGGCCCACTGCTGAACCAGGCAAGTTGTATTCTGATGGCCTCTCACCTACTCAGGGCCCTCTACTCAGTTAGCAGTTTCTCAGCATTTCTGGTAACTGGAGTTGTAACTTTGGGCCATAGAATACAGCTAGGTAGATTCCTTAGGGGCAGAGCCCAAACTTTCACTTCAAATCTGGGGTAATAAAAGTCCAGCAAGATAAAATAACTTGCTGAAAGGTCACAGCAAGTTAGCAAGGGAACTAGGGTGACCAGAACACAACTGTCCTGGTATCAGTCCCAGTCTTTCCGTTACACTTTCTTAGTAGTACTTGTCAGTTTATCACACTATGGTGGCTTGGATGCTATGATCCTGGCAGTTAAGCCACTCAAAAGTAGGATGTAGAACAATGTTTTTTGTGTAGTATGTTATGCCAGTTGAGCTTGATGGCCCCCAAGACCATAGTCCCAAGCCCATGGACCCAACAACTTATTCCCTCAGGATGGTTGGCTGTGGCTATGAAGTTACCATAATTTTACCCCCTATTAGCTCTATTATATGAACATTGTTGTAGTGCATACAAATAAATATCTTCTGCCAAATTTATATATGGTCATGAGTATATTCCCTTTTGCATAGACATACCTAATCACTCAGCCTGTCTACCTATGTGTTTACCCTTAGGTTGTTATTACTGATAACACAGAATTGTGTATGTAAAGGTGTTTATCTTTTATTGTCTGTACCTCTTGTACACCTCTCTGTGTCTTCCTTCCCTTTAAAATTATTGTATTGGCCACTTGCTTTTTAGTATATTGCCTTTCCTTTCACCCAAATCAAACTTATCTCTTACTATCTAGCAATTTTCCCTCCCCTCCCCTCCCATCCCTGGTAACCAACAAAGAAGCACTTGTATTTATTTATGTCATACATCCATTGAAAGGGATAAGAGGGAAGTTTGGGGGAGGGGAAAAATATCAAAGGGAAAATCAAGAACTGTGAACCAAACCAAACTAAACTCATTGCTGTCGAGTCGGTCCCAACTCATAGTGACCCCTCCGTGGCTTTCCGAGGCAGTATCTCTATGGAATGGAACTCTGGTAGCGTAATGGCTAAGGCACTTGACTGCTAACCAGAAGGCTGGCGGTTCAAACCCACCAGCCACTCCCCGGAAGGAAGATGGGGCAATCTACTTCTGTAGTGATACTGCCCTGGAAACCCAAGGAGGGGTCACTATGGGTCGGGTCTGACTCAATGGCATAT